AAACGGAGGAGGTCCGGAAGAGCTTGTGGTATCGGACAGTGAAGAGGAGTCAGAGGAGGAGGCGGGTGACGCTCTGATGGAGCTTATGGTCCCGGACAGTGAAGAGGGGTGGGAGATGACGGCCAAGGAGATGGAGGAAAAGTTGGCAAAAATACGGAAGGAGGTGCGGGAGCAGTACATTCGCCATCCTGTGCTAGAGGAGTTCTTAAAACTGATCATACCTTGTTGGGAAACAAGGATGTGGGACATTGATACCTCTAGCAGGGGAGTTTGTTTCTATTTCTGTTTCCCAATCTGTCATTTAATTGCATTTGTTCAATGTGTGGCCAATAAATTGTTGTGGTAATGTTTGTATGGGTTATGTAGTTGTGTTTAATTCTGGGGCAGCAATGATGATTTTAGGGTGTTCTTATGTACTGAAATGTCCTTCTAGTGATGCATATATGGTCTGAGCATTGTTGTTATGTGGCTTCATTGAGTAAGGGTTATGTGAGGCTGGTATGGGTAAAATGGGTGATGATTTTAGGGTGTTCTTATGAACTGAACTTCATTGGTACTAATGTTTGTGTGCCTAAATTGTCTGACTAAGGGCTGTGATGACATTGCTATGATGTCAGAGTGATTACAGCCCTGCTGTGATGAGCTATTACTCCACCTATTGATTGGTTGCTGTGATGACCTATTGGTCTGAGCATTGGTTGTTGCTATGATGACTTCTTGGTCTGAGCATTGTTGTATGTATAAGCCTGCTATGATGACTTCTTAGTCTGAGCATTGTTGTATGTATAAGCCTACTACGATGACCTTCTTGGTCTGCCCATTGTTGTATGTATAAGCCTCGTATGATGCATATATGGTCTGAGCATAGTTGTATGTATAAGCCTGCTATGATGACCCTATTGGTCTGAGCATTGTTGTTTGTATTAGCCTGTTTTTGTGTGGGCCTGGTATGAGGAATAAGGTGCTTGCTTAAGGGTTGAGAAAGGATAATGTTAAGCTTAAGGCATGAGAAAGGATAATGTTAATCTACAATGAAGATATAAATTCTGAGTAGCTTCAACAGTTTAGGCCTCTACATTATGACAAAAACAAGGCTGCTACATTATGACAAAAACAAGGCTGCTACATTATGACAAAAACAAGGCCTATACATTATGACAAAAACAAGGCCTATACATTATGACAAAAAATAAGGCCTATACATTATGACAAAAAATAAGGCCTATACATTATGACAAAAAATAAGGCCTATACATTATGACAAAAAATAAGGCCTGTACAGTTATGGAATTAGTTCAGTACTGAAGATGATTGAGTCCTAATCATCTTCATGGATGAACTGGCCATTGCTTTCTTGTACTAAGTTAGGTGTACCAATGTTACCCTGTTGTTGTGATACAAGAGCTTCTGTGGCTTCCAATAAATCCACAGGAACCTCTATGCTTATGGGCAACCTACCTTCTTTGATCATTCTGTCCTTTGCATGATGTGGAAGCTTGTAGTTGTTCCCCCCTTGCACTTTCATTACCTCTAGCATGCCATATTGATAACTTAACCACACCTTGTTGAGAGTGGTGGGTGAAAGCTGATAGAATGCTTCATGTACTGCCTTTAACAGTTCATCCACATTCTTAGGTGCTTGTTGGTCTTTCAAAGACTGAATAACCCTAAAGAACCCAAGGTCAAGTATGTTAAGATCAGGAGAATTACTGGGCTGATAAGTTAGTGTAATATAAATCCATCTGCTTTTGAAGCTGCGATAAACCCTGGGTCTAAATCTATATTGTGTGGCCTTGCATTGTCCTGTTGATTATAATGTCCTTGCTGAACTGCTCAGGCCATTTTTCCTTTATGCTAGGCAACACATGATAAGCATGTCTTTAAACACAGGATTTGTAATGCTAAGTATAGGTTTGGTTTCCATTACCCCTGCATCCCTATTCCTTGCTTTCCTTTTTGCTGCAGTTTCTCAATGAATGGGAAAATGTCAATTTTCCCATCCCAAATGACTTCACCATTGTCTGAAAAAAAGGGGCCTCCCCACAACTCCTAGTGACATGACATTGGTAATTGAATCTCTTAGACTTGCATACCCTGTGTGGATCCAATTCATCTGGGCCCATGTAGTACCTTTGTGAAGTTTTTGACAAGAAAAACCATTTCTCATCAATGTGTATGACATTGTGGAAAATCTTGAACACTGGTTTAGAGGCTATGGATTTGTCTATTTGGCTTGAACAGAAACTGAGTCTCTGCATTTAATTTTCATCAGTTAGCAATGGCTTAATAGCATTTGTATGACTTCTAACCGCTCCTCTCTGAACCAATCTGTGAATAGATGACTTTGAAATTGAACTGGCTGAAGCAAGTGCTCTTATGTTAGTCCTTTTGTGCAAAGGGATTTCTGCAATGTTGGTTACATCAAACAACACCCTTTTTCTGCCTAAATTCCCCTGCCATTTGGTTTTTACATCTATAGTTTCCCCCTTCTCAATCTGCTCTTGAGCTTTTCTCCAGATCTTGGAAATACTTTTTCTTGTCACTGAATATTTAGTGGCTAGCTGAGTTAGAACACCTTTCTTCTGAGCTGTGACCTCCCCAGAATCTTTTCTTCTTGCACTGATTAGAATTTCATCAACTATACTTTGTCTTTCAATGTTTTTGAGTCTTTTTGATTTGATACTTGAGCTTTGGTCATTTGTTGGTGTGTGCAGGAGCTCATTTACTCCAGTTGATGCCTCCACATCAATAAATGCAGCTGGAGAAGATGCAGTGGGGGAGGAAGCCTCCACATCAATAAATGCAGCTGGAGAAGATGCAGTGGGGGAGGAAGCCTCCACATCAATAAATGCAGCTGGAGAAGATGCAGTGGGGGAGGAAGCCTCCACATCAATAAATGCAGCTGGAGAAGATGAAGTGGAGGAGGAATAGCTTTGCCCGCCACTGCTGTGTGCAGCCATGAATGCAACGTGTAGTGTGTGTTAGTGTGTTGTGGTTTGTTGTTTTCAGAATGTGTATTAATAGGTGGGTTGTTTAGATACTTTCCCAAAAAAAAGGAGGGAAATGTTGGGGGAAAATTTGTGGTGTAGGAAACACCAAAGAATAGGCTGAATTAGTACTAGCATTTCAGATCATGAACAGTGTAAAGCACAGGATGGGTAGTAATTTTTTTTCCCCAGTGGCAGCTCCCCCCATCCGAATCTTTCTTTTTCATTTCAAGGGCATTTAGGGAAAGTCCAAGCTTATTTTAACTTTCCTAAAAATCCGTTCCAAGTCAATAGGGGAACTATTTTTCGGGACGGAGGGAGTACATAATAGGCCCGAAAATGTAATTGAGTGTTTGAATTGAAAATTGAAATTCATACTAAAATGGGCAGGAGGAAAACATGAACATATCCTATCAAACTACACTTTCATTCCAACATTTTATCAAACATATTGTGGGCAGGAGAAAAAACTCAACTAAACAAAAATGTTCTAATGTTAGACAACATCATCTCCGGTGATATCATGGAGATATCCCACCTCCAGCTCTTCGAACCTCAATTCCATCGATCTCGTTGACTACAAGTAGGTGAAGGCCGCCGTGACAGCCACCGTGAAAGCCGCCATCGTGATCTAGAACACTCTGTAAGAGATCGAACATCTCCTAACTTCGTAGTAGGTTAAATTTTAATAACTTTACTACATAAAATAGAAGAAAATGAACAAGTTGAGAGGAAATTTTTGGAGAAGGAAAGAGATTGTGGAGGAATTGAGAGCTTAGAAAATGGGGACTGTGTAAGAATGGAGATGCACGATAGATAAGGTTAGGAGAGAAATGTGAGAAGAGTGGAATTGGGAGAAAATGAGTGGGGTAAAAAATAAAATAAAGGGTAAAAGGAGAGTCTTATATAGCGTGTAATGAAGCGTGTATACGGGCGTGTACATAAATCATTTTCCTATTAATAAAGACTAGAGTGTGTCATGTACTTTTTGGATCTTAATAAAGACTAGAGCCTGTCATTCTGATTTGGAGTGTTTGAGCATCTTTTTTTTTGTGTCCGTTTGGCTACTTGTTCATAAGAATAGCCATAAAAAATAGTTTAGTCATGTTTAAACTTATAAGGTTTATGAGTATTTTCGTGTTTAATTTTGTTCTCACATCACACCAAATCTGAACCGGAGTAATTTTTATTAAGGTCAAAGTAGTCTTATCACGGTTGCATTAAGTAATTTTAGGGGTTGGTCGTGGCTAGGGGTTAAGAAATGAGAGAATTCTCAAAGTAAAACATGCTCAAAGTCCAGAAATAGGAGTGGATGTCCCTAGGCATGGACAGGGCCCGGGTCGGCACGGGTTCCGGGACGGGTCGGGGTGGGACTGGGGTTTTGGGATGAAGGCCTGGTACCGGCCCGAGTTGGTACCGAGACCGGGCCGGGCCCGGGGTCATGTTGGGTCTAAGTTTTTTTTTTAAAATTTGTTTTTCCGAATTTATTCCTACCCCCAAACCACCCAGCCCCACCCGCCTAGCAGCCAATTAATGGAAAAAAATCAAAAAAAAAAAAAAGGATCAGCCGGGCCAGTTCACATTTTGCAAGGCCCGTAGCCCGCCCCTCTACCACCCGATTCAGGCCCCCAGTCCCGGTACTGCACAGTACCGGTCCAGGTGCCGGCTCGGGCCGACCCGTCATAGTCTAGTCCATCCCTAGATGACCATAGTTTCCTTTAGGACTTATTTGTGATTGAAGATTAAGAACCCTCGTTATGTTAGGGAACTAGGAGGCAATTACTTAAAGAACATAAAAACATGAACTATTCAAGGAATAGGACCATGTTTTTGTACTATTTAGTGCAATTTTACCTTGAGAGATGTAATTCAACACTTGCTGGTGTAGTTTAAAGTTAAAGATGCTAAACTTAGAGTAATTAAGGCAGTCCTTTTAACCTTTTGCAGTTCTACACTTCTACTCATACTATTTGGAAAGGCTAGAGTACTACGGAGTAGAATTTTTTATGGTGCTGCTAGTATAATAGTCTTTCATTTTTGAATAGCAGATATCGACATTGTAAGTAAACCTAGAAAATCTCTTTTAAACAAGAAATTGGGAAATCATGTTTTAACATGAAAGAACAAGCTGAGCACAGGCAGGGCCAACACAACTCTGATAAAAGGCACTCAATTCAGCTACACTTTTGTAATGAATACAATATCAAGACAAGCAGGAATGTCACCTAGAGAACCCTTGCAAAATTTCAGAAAATACTTATGTGTTAAATTCACCATAATTTAATCAAAACCTCTCAGCCAAACGGGCAGTGACTGCTCTAAGCTTGGAATACACCTTCCCAGCAGGAGACCCCATAATCAGACTGCAAAGTGAATCTCTTGCAACCTTTATATTTGTAAATGAACCTAGTATATGAATCTTAGTATCAGCAATCACAATGCGTGTTTTCGTCGAGTTCTCAATAGCAAACTTGGTCTTTCCTCCTTTACCAGATAACCTTCCAATCGCCCTGGACAAATGCTCCCCTCGGAGTGTTTTCACATCCTTGATCTCAAATGAATCAACATATAGCTCGTCCACCCGGAGGAGAGCAACAGCGTCGCAGATGTCAAAGCCCAGCATAAAGGCATGCACAAAGTCAGCGGACTTCTGGATGTTGCTGATGTCAGGGGTGTCAGGTCGGGTCTTTAGCTCCACCCTACGGGCCTTGAGATTCATACGTATGTCAACTTTCATCTGCTCAAAGATTGGGGTGTAGATGTCCATCCAGGCTTTCTTCAAAGGTGTGTATCTATGCGACGGCACAGGAATTTTTCGGAACTGCACCTGGCCATCGGATATTTCATGCGCTGTAAGTGGCTTGAAGTTTGGCTTAACTGGAAGGCTGCCTGGATTGCTAGCAGGAGGTGGGTCCATCGTCACATCAGAGGTTACATTCTCGATTTCCATGGTTGAAATCCGAGTAAGAGAAAACCTGGCAGAGTATGAATTCAGAAAAGAGGTATAAAATAAAGGTTAGGGTTTGGGTCAATAGAGTTGACATCACAATCTGAAAATGACATTTTAATGATTATTTTTATTGTAAGATTTTGAAAGTGGTTTATAATTGTGTTGATCTAAAAACAATCTGACTTTGCGGTCAAAAACATGTTTGATTGTCAAACAACTAAAAATAATAATCCTATTTTGGAATAATATACAATGTCATTTCAGAAAACGAATTCCACACACACAATACTCTCTTTTCCTCATATACGGCGTGTCGGTATCATATAATATGCTTATATGCTAATAAATTAAGGGATGATTAAATCTACTCAAATCATACATTTTAATGGTTAGTGGCATGGGAATAACTTTGATTAATAAAAAAGGCAAGGCTGAAATGATTTCATGAGTAACCTGCTACTAAAAAATTAGTTGCATGTTAAGAAATAGGCCTGTCCAGTTAAAAACTGATTAGCAAATATATGAATACAAACTCTCTGCAGAAGCATTATAAAAATCATTTTACTAACATGCGTACAGATCAAGGAACACGATGAAAATGAGCTGAAGAGATCAAGTCCAACATTCTAAATATAAAAAAAATCGGTAGATTTGTAGAGTATGGGTCAATATATATAGAAGCATATGCACAGGATTTGGATATAATGGAATAATTGGGTTTTCAAACCACACAAAATTTGGAATTGCATTTAGATGTGAAAAGAAAACCAGGGCAGTAACACTTTATCAGCAAATAAAAAAAACGAAGCAACATTTAGATATTAAGTACTTGCCTAGGCATACATAAGCATAACACAATACCCAAAAAAATTGATCATTAAAATATATTGAAACCAGAGAAATATGAAGCAGCACTAACGCTTATAGGTATAAATGCTCATATTCTTTGTCACTATTCATAAAATACCTTAAAATTGGTAAATGAGCAGCGGATAATTGAGATCTTTCGTCAGATGTCAAAATTCGTGGGAGAGTGGACAGAGTTTTCAAGTCAAGTAGGGCTGGTTCGGTATGGCATACCGAAAATTTTGTGCCATACTGTATACCATACCGAAATACTGGTATATGAAAATGACATACCGTTGCCGTACCGAAACTTCGGTATACCGATGTTTCGGTATACCGAAATTTTGGTAAGCCCAAATGACATATTGATGCCATACCGAATATTCGGTATACCGAAATTCAAGCAAAGTATTGATATACAGAAAATCTAATAACTTGCCAAAGTAAAATCTCACATAAATTCAAAAATTATTAACAAAAACATGCAATAAATACCAATAATAACTAATGTATAACTACTGATTAACTGAATGCTCAATTTTTAAACACAAAATATTATAAACTTATAATCATTTATTCAAGAATCATGGGCTTCAAGAGAATCAAGGCTATGCAAATTTAAAATGTCAAAGCACATTGATTCCGACATAAAGTACATATTTAAATGCAATTATAGCATAGAATTCATTAAAGCAATATAGATGAAGCAGCCCGAAATCGACATGATCACTGAACTTGTGGCTATCATTTGATCACTCCTTAAGATGTGAAAAGAGAAAGAAAAGGGTGGAAAAACAATTCATGGAGAATGAACAAAGACTCACTTATATATAGTCATCAAAACTGATCATAGAACCGGTGAAACTTTTCTGGGGAAAGCATAGATTTACATATATCACTCAAGAGGGGTGAAAAAACTTTGAATTCTATAATTCTGGAGGGGAGCAAAAACTTTGTTAATTCTGGAGCTCTTTCTGCAAGATCTTTGTGACAGGAAATATGACATTACACTTAGAGGGGAGTAAAAACTTTGAATTCATTCAATTTGAAACAATTTGTACAAACTTTTAATCCTTTAAATTCCGGAGTGTTGGAGTTGCTCCTTAGATCCAATTCTTTTGACCACCCGCAAGCCAGGACATTATCATCGCTCCTTAAATCCAACTCACCGCTTTGCAACGTTCTTTACTCTTGTTGATATTGGAATTTCTAAACAACAAATCAATTTCGATGAGTTTTGCGAGTTGAGAGTTTTGGACTGGGGAGGCCTAACATAACTTGATTATCTCAGTCAGCTTTTCAAGACCATGTACTCCTTCAGTGTAATTTTGCCAGAGACATATGGATTTTTTTTTTGAAAAAGCGCTGCACATACAGGGGAGAATTGTTACGAAGGTAAAGCTTCAACTACTTAAGTGGTGGGCTTCAGGAAAGAATAAGTCTTTGGATGCTACTTGCAGTGTGATTATTCCGGGAGTAATCGCTTGGCATATTTGGAAGGAATACTGGGAAGCGTTTTGGAAGGATAAACCTCCGGACAAGGAGCATATTATAAAACAAATTATCAATTTCATGGTTAATTGGAGCTATGCTAATTCGAGTCTTAAAGGAGGAGATAATCTGAAGAATTGTGGATTGTTACCTGGTGCTTTCAAAATGAATAAACCGCAGGTAGGTGTGTGGAAGAAGCCGGCTCCCGGAAAGCTTAAGCTTAACTGGGCGGTCTTTCGTCGTAATGGAAAGACGGCGGCAGGTTATCTGCTCAGAGACCATATGGGGGCGGCGGCAGGTAAGTGCTTCATCGAGAATGGAAGGCGAAGAAGACGAGGCTTTCAGGCAAGCGGTGGAGTGGGTGGAGACCTTTCAGATTCAGCAGGTGGAGGTGGACTTTTGCCTTATTCCCAAGTAAATAAGGCAGCATTTTTGGTGGCTAAATCGGGCTGGAAGGCTGATTTCGTATGGCGCCCGGGCTTGTTTATGCCTAAGGAGATCCAAGGGGCTATGGATTTAGACTCTAGGTCCTTTCCGTATATTTGGTGATTCATTAGTGTTTTGACTCTATTCCCTTTTATGGTTTTTATATTCATTCTACTCATCTTTTTGTCAAAATTGTTTGTTCTTATGGGAAGGCATTGGTTCGGACCCCCTCTCGTTGTACTCATCTATCTATTAATAAAATTATCGGCATCTGACTCCTGGCATTTGCCCCACTGAATTTGGTGGTTTGCCTTCTGGGATAAAAAAAAGGATTATAACACTTAGATATCTGAAGAGAATTAAGAAAGGCGTGCCACTTTAAATTTATTTTAAAAATTAAACCTTGGGCCAATTAATTGAGTTAAAAATTTAAAAAAAGGAAGCCTACTCACACTACAATACAAAGATATATTTTTTGGGCCTATTTTCCCCCCTATTTTGTTGGGTCTAGGGCGGTCGCCCCTGTTGCACCCCTAGGGCCACCCCTGACACAAAGCTCCTTTCGAGAACACTAGCTACATTATTTTGAAAACACTAAAACACAAATCATTTAGAATCACGATTAACATCATCTTTTGCGAAGCTATGACTAACATTAATTTCTATTCTAGAAAATATTATACCCGTAATAGAATTATTATATTATCTCCATCCTAAAAATGTCTTTCTAAATTGTATATTCTAGTTGACACACAAAACACAAAGCATTCTTTGAAAGACAATTGGAAGAAAGTTTCGAGACTAGTGTAACGCATGCAACACTTAAATTAAGAACACTACATATGTCTGAATGTCACTTTTCTTATCATAACTCCCTTATTATTTGTTTTGTGTTAATTGTTAATACAATCACTAAAGTGATTTATTTTTTAAAAAAATACTAAAAAAAAAGGTAATTTAGTGATTTTTTTTACTAAAGTGATTCATTTCAATATAGATATACTCTTTGTGGACTCGGTGGCGCAAAGCTTTTTTCTCTCATACTTAATGGAGACATGGAGTACTTGATACGTAGTAGTTGATGTAGGATTCTTCCACCTTCTTTCTTGGAAGTTGCCAAGAGGCATCTCACACTTTCTAGGAAGGAGCTCTCCAACATATGAGCATGGGAGAAGATATGGAGATAACTATGGAAGCTTGGATGCAACTTCCCCTTGTCTCCAAATAGCCCTATAAATAGAGTGTTCTATTGTTGTTCATATCATCAGTTTAGAAAGTGAGAAAAGTGTGTGAAGAGTGAAATACACTTAGAGTAGAAGTGTATTGGTGAGGATTGGTTTTTTGTAATAGTTGAGTGTGAGAGTTTGCTCCTCCTATTGTAATTCTGTTCTTGATATTGAATAGAAGAATTTTCCAATCCCAACAAGTGGTATCAGAGCGAGGTTGAGTTTTCATACACTCTTTTCTCATTTTAAGATAAATTTCTACAGGTTAGAAAATCGTGATTTTTCAAGTTGCTCGGAATCACGATCTGATCATAACGTTAGATTCGTCTCGTCGAGACGAGAAATATGGTATTTTTAGGGAATTTTTTGGCCACCAGAAGAGGCCGTACGCGCCGCCCAAACGCGCCGGAAAACTGCCTGCGTCATCACGCAGTCCAGAGGAAGAAGACGAGCCACGTCAACCGCCACGTCAGCCGCCACGTCAGTGCCACGTCAGTCCACGTAAGTGCCACGTCAGCCGTGCAAGCCATCCTCTGGGTGCCACGTCAGCGCCACGTCAGTGACACGTGGCGCCACGTCAGCGCCAGCGCAGTCCAGCTGTTGCCACGTCATCCGCCTGCCGGTCTGCCCACTGGTTTGCTGCTTGAACCGGACCGAACCGGTTCGAAGTTGTGGAGGCCGGTTCACCCATTTCCAGACCGGTTTTGGACGAGGTCAGACCGGTTCCTACCATTTTCGGCCATTCCGGATCCAACGGTGAGCTCCGTTTGTCCAAATTCGGCTCCGAAAATAAGGTACGAGATATTTTGAGCGTTTTATTATGGATAAATCATCATCGGACACCATGATTGCGCTCAGTTCCACAAATTACAATATGTGGAAGCCTCGGATGGAGGATTTGCTAAATTTGAGGGATTTAGCTGATCCTCTTGATAATAATGGCGTGAAACCGGATAAAAAGACGGATGAAAATGGACAAAAATGAATCGAAAAACTGTCGCACAAATTCGACAGTGGATAGATCATAGTGTGTTCCATCATGTTGCGCAAGAACAAAGTGCTTACACACTATGGGAGAAGCTTGGTAGCATGTATCAAGCAAAAACCGCCCGAAATAAGACGTTACTAATGAGGAGATTAGTAAACCACAAGTTATGAGGAGGTATTTCGGTGTCAGAACACACCAGTCAATTCCAGGATCTTGAGAATCAGTTGAGCACCACCGGATGGGTTCTCAAAGATGAAGAACAGGCGATACTACTCTTGAGCTCTCTACCTGACAGCTGGGAGACTCTTGTTGTCACTCTCAGCAATTCTGCTCCCAATGGCAAGGTGACTATGCATATGGTCACAGATGCCCTTATGAATGAAGAAGCCCAAAGAAAAGAAGCCGGGACTGAACAATCATATGCCTTCGTGTCAGAAACCAACAGGCGAGGGGGAGGCAGAAATGGAGGAAGAAGTCGAGGTCGAGGTAGAGGTCAAAGTCAAAACAGGGGAAATTCTCAAGTTCGCGGCCGATCACAAGAACGAGGTATGTCCTGTGAAAACAATACTTGGTTTGAAGGATATTGCAACCATTGTGGTAATTATGGGCATAGAAAAAGAGATTGTAGAAAGTTTCTACGAGAGCAGCCACAGACGAGTCAAAATACTAGCCACGAAGATGGTGAGACCATGGTTAGTTTGTCATCAGACGTGTGTCTTGTTACACATGGTGAACAAGAATGTTTACACGTAGGTACTCATGATGTTGAGTGGGTGATTGATACAGCCGCATCATTTCACGCTACTCCACACCAGAACTTATTCACATCTTATAAGTCAGGAGACTTTAGAGCTGTGAAGATGGGAAACACGAGTTTCTCGAAGATTGTTGGCATTGGTGATGTGCACATAACAACCAATGTCGGATGCGCACTTGTGTTGAAAGATGTTCGACATGTTCCGGATCTTAGATTGAATCTTATCTCCGGTACAGCTCTGGATCAGCAAGGATATCTTAACCGATTCAAAGAAGGTACATGGAAGTTATCTAAAGGTTCCTTGGTTGTTGCAAGAGGCCATATTTGTGGTACTCTTTATAAAACTCATGCAAAGTTGTGTCATCCAAGTCTTAATGCTGTTGAAGAAGAGATATCACCAAACTTGTGGCACTGGAGGCTAGGCCACTTGAGCGTGAAGGGATTGACAACTCTTGCAAAGAAGGAAGTCATTTCCATGGGCAAAGGTGTTGCCCTAGATCCATGCGAACACTGTCTATTCGGGAAACAACACAGGGTTTCCTTCAGTTCTACCAGGAAGAACCATTCAGAGTTACTCAGTCTTGTACACTCTGATGTATGCGGACCCATTGAAGAGGAGTCACTTGGAGGAAGCAGATATTTCGTGACATTCATTGATGATGCATCACGAAAGGTATGGGCTTACTGTTTAAAGAGTAAGGATCAAGTGTTTGATCGCTTCAGATTATTTCATGCCATGGTAGAAAGAGAAACAGGGAAGAAGGTGAAGTGTCTACGTTCAGACAATGGAGGAGAGTACACTTCCCGAGAGTTCTCAGCATATTGCGCTGCATACGGAATCCGACATGAGAAGGCGGTTCCACGAGCTCCGCAACACAATGGTGTGGCCGAAAGAATGAATCAGACCATTATGGAGAAAGTTCGTTGCATGCTGAGTATGGCTAAACTACCTAAGCCATTCTGGGGTGAAGCTGTGCTGACAGCTTGTTATCTTATAAACAGGTCACCTTCTGTTCCTTTAAACTTTGAAGTGCCAGAGAAGAAATGGTCAGGACGAAATGTTTCTTACTCTAATTTGAAAGTGTTCGGGTGCAAGGCATTTGCACATGTGTCAAAGGAGTTGAGACAGAAGCTTGATCTCAAGTCAAACCCATGCATCTTCATCGGGTATGGTGATGAAGAATTGGGATACCGGTTGTGGGATCCCGAAGTGAAGAAAGTTGTACGAAGTAGAGATGTTGTATTTCATGAAAACGAGTTTCATGGGTGTGCTCCAATAATCCGCCAACAACATACTCCAGAAGACGAAGTGCAAGTATCATCAAACATTCCTCTTAGCAACGAGGAGATGTATGATTCTACTGAACAAGAGAGTGATGGTTCAGTAGGTGATGATGATACTCACAGTGATGATATTCCTCAGCAGGGGGAGCCTTCATCTGAAGACGAAGCTGGAGGTACTCATGTTCGACGTTCTATGTGAGGCATAGTTCCACAGAGAAAGTATTCCACATCCGAATGGATACTTGTTGCCAGCGAGGGGAGCCAACGAGCATCGCAGGAACGAGAGAAATAAAGAAAAAGGTGGAGGGGGAGATTTGTAGGATTCTTCCACCTTCTTTCTTGGAAGTTGCCAAGAGGCATCTCACACCTTCTAGGAAGGAGCTCTCCAACATATGAGCATGAGAGAAGATATGGAGATAACTATGGAAGCTTGGATGCAACTTCCCCTTGTCTCCAAATAGCCCTATAAATAGAGTGTTCTATTGTTGTTCATATCATCAGTTTAGAAAGTGAGAAAAGTGTGTGAAGAGTGAAATACACTTAGAGTAGAAGTGTATTGGTGAGGATTGGTTTTTTGTAATAGTTGAGTGTGAGAGTTTGCTCCTCCTATTGTAATTCTGTTCTTGATATTGATAGAAGAATTTTCCAATCCTAACAGTTGATACTAAAGCGCGCCACATCTAGCTTCAATTCTGTTGGACGAAAGTCTAAGTGATCACATTAGATATTTTGGGAGCCGGAAAATTTTGGTATCCAGGTGGTATATGACAGACTAAAGGAAGATAAAACGAAGACATTGAAAAATAAAAATAAAAAAGAAAAACAAAGAAAAAAGGAAAAAGGAGAAGGGAGAAAGAGAAAATATTACAACTTAGCAAAAGAGATCATAAGATGGACGGCCAACAACCAACATAGCAATTTGATACGATGACATGGATAGTTTTCTTTAATGGTAAAACACCAAATTTATATTAATTCAAATAAGAAATATGTAAGTGCAATAGAAAAATATGATGCACAATTGTTACCATTGTTCAACAACCATATATAGTCATATAGGGCATGTTAGATAATGGCTGCAACGGCTGAAAGTGTTTTAATGGCTGACATTTCTAAAGTGAAAGTGTTTGGTAATATTTTGACTGAATTGGCTTATTGGATGTATAATTACCAAAAAGGATAGTACTTTCTTTGTATTTTAATATTTTGGATAGAACTTTCTTTGTATTTTAATATATGTATGTTAGCAGCAGCTCGTTTTACTGATATATGTGTTCTTAAAAATTTTCTTAAAAAATACATTTGCTTAATCTATAATTGCACAACAACCACTCATTTTACATTACAACTTACTAACCATGGTGTTTTAAAATAATTTGTTCTGCATATTTCCTATTGATTCCTTTGGATTTGCGTCTGCGTATTGCTGTTATAGGCGTAGATCGTCGGTGACTTTTGGATTAGAGTTTCTTTATTAGGGCTCGAGGTCGAGGGAGTGTCGACGGTTGTGCCGAGAAAAGTTCTCTCGCGGCAGCCCCGCTTCGTCGGCGGATATGGAGGTGGAAACGAGTTTCGGATATTCGTTTGAGTTTTCTCTTTTCGGTTTGAAAAGCTTTATGGACAAGTGCAAGACGTTGGCAATTGGCGCAGAGGAAGAAGAACTGGATCTGAATATAGCTGATGTTGAAGTTGTGACGGATGAACGACGGGCGCGTCCTCCTCCTGAGCCGCCGCCATGGAGTGCAAGCACATCTAGGGTTTGGAAGAAGATGGGTGAATTCTATTTTAATTTCGTTTTATTTAATTTGTGTTTTTCTGTCGAATTGTATGTCGTTTGGTTCTGTTTTTCAGCCAAATAAACTCATTCAGAGCCCATTTAGTAGCATGAAAATCAGTTGTTTTGGCTGATTCTGCTGAAATTTATGAAGTTCTGGCTGAAGTGGCCACATTGGCTGATTCTACTGATTTATGAAAAAAATATTTTTAAAATATATTTTATTGATAAAATAAAGAAAAAATTACATGTAAAAATAGCTAAAATGGTCATCTGCAGTAACTTCAGCTAATATAGCCAGAAAATTAACCTCAACCTTACTTTTTCTGCTTATTACAGAATTCAGCACGCTAAAGCAAAGGTTACGTGTTTGATGCAAAAGTTGACTGATAAGCCTGATAAACTGAAAAAATGTGTTGCCAAACTTCTCCGTGATTGTTTGGTGTTTTTTTTTGGGATTTCAGGCTGATCAACCCAATATAGCGCCTCCAAACACCCTCATAGAGACGATCACCCTAGTGCCTCGATTTGAAGTTATACTTGACTATAAAGGCTCCAACAATGCTTGATGTACACACTCTTATATCTACCTTATACCCACAATGTTTGTGGAGGTTGTTTTTTGTCTGTGAACCCGGTTCATAGACAATATCTTGTTTGTGCAAAATATTGTCTGTGAACCCCGGCTCACATACAAAAAAAACACTTCACAAACATAGGTGGGTACAAAATTGGGTATAAGAGTGGGTACAAAGATCATTTTGTAAAGGCTCTCATACTTCTAAACAACACTCCCAACTATACACAGAAATAGAGAATAAAATCTGTAAACAAACTACACCAAAACAGTAGTAAAGTAAACAATAAAAAAGATGAAGTGTTGAATGCAAATTACCCTCATGCATCTCGTCGACAAATTTCACTCAGCAGAAAAGCGTCAATATACCATGATGGTGCACCCACCAGTCCATCTATTATCTTGATGAATGAAAAAACGATAAACAATCCACCCGAGCACAAAAAATTGCAGCAGTTGAGGCAGGCGCCGAATCGTCAATGCTAGAGTAGATAAAAGGACTTGATGACAAACTCCAAAAACAATGGTGTCACCCAGTGGCGGATCTAAGCATCGGGGGTCAGTGCGTGCACAAAAATATACATGAACATTATTTCATTTTCATTTACCCCAGTGCCGCAAAGGCTCCCACCTACGGTGGGGTAAGGGGGGTCGGATGTACGCAGTCTTACCCCTTTACTAAAGCACAGAGAGACTGTTTCCGGATGACCCATAGTGAAAATCGCATCCAAAAGTGCATGGACTGACTGCTGCTTCATAGCAAAGAAACACAGACAATTTAGTGAGCCATTTTGCTTTATTCCATCATACATGAACATTATATGTACATAAAATTTCAAGAATAAAAAATGTAATGTACACCGTAAAAAACATTAAATTTGTAATTATTTATTGCTATGTAATTTCATGTCAACCAAATTAACTTATTTGACAAAAATATATGTATAAGTGTTGATAGATTATTTAATCTAGAGAGAGGGGAGAGTTAGAGAGATAAAGTGATATGTATAATAAATTCCAACTTCCAACTTTCCAATCAATCATCCCATTCCCATCCTTTTACATGGCTCCCATAGGGAGTATTTATAGCAGAAAAGAGGGTTGGGCTTCCAGGTTTGGGCCTGGGAGGCCCAACTACAATAAAAGGCCAATAAATGGCTAATAAATAGTATCTAATCTATTCTAATGGGTACATATGAATAAATATAGTGTACAAGGAAATAAATGCTATCTACTGAACATATGTGGGCCGCTGTCCGGGCCGCTGTCTGGGCCCAATAGTCGTGATACCCAGGGTCCGAGTCTATATACTCTATCAGGAGTCCCCCACTCTCTGAGTCGAGAGTACTCGAGGCGAAAGAGAGTAGAACTGTGTGCTGATCTGTCGTCGTCCGGTGAGTAAACTGCTGTCGTCGTCGAAGCGCCTCGCCCAGATTCCCAAGCCGATGATCCGATCCCACTGGTGAGCCCTGGCTGAGGCAACCCTGTGGGAAAATCCTCAACCGAAGGTCGCAGGCCAGAGACCATCACCACCGGTCCTGAGGCCGGGGAGCTATGTATATGTACTGGCCGATGTGGCAGCTGAATATGTATGTGATATGATGATGTCGTCGGTGCGAGTGGCAATCCTTGCAAAAAAATTTGAATTTCTGCTTCTTTGGTAGCGAAGTCCCCCGCTCTCCCAGTCCCCCACTCCTTGAGGCGAGTGTAACGAGGTGAAGAGGAGTAGAGTAGTGCATGTCTGATGATGTCTGCAACAGGGGGCCGAGGGTTGACACCTTTTGATCCACAATGGGGAGATGCCTCGTTAAAAACCTCATTAGGAAAAACCTTGTGGGAAAAAATCCTAATGAGAGAAAAAGAGTACACCGGATGCCCCCAAAACGAAGCAAAAGGTGTGAGCCCTTCGGCCTAGAGATGGAGCTGCAGCGGTGTCCGTCTGCTGAGGGGATGGCCGAGGCCGATCTCTAGATGTGGGTAGCTCGTCATGATCAGTAGTCCTAGTCATCAAATAAAGATGACTAAGGGATGGGTCGAGCGACCGTCCATAATGTGACGTCTGGTTCATCAAATAAAGATGACCAGAATATAAGGCCGACGGGCCGATATAAGCTCCACATCATCAAATAAAGATGACTGGGAGTAGTGGCCAAGAGGCATATATGAGAGCTCCACGTCGTCAAATAAAGATGCTAGAGTAAGATGTGGCCGAGGGGCCTATAGATGAGATCTGAGATCCTTTAGTCTCTGAGCCGGAGACTGCAAGATGTTTGCTAGATCCGAACATGAGGACGAGGCGTTGGACGCCTGTCTGAATATGAGGATGAGGCGTTGGGCGCCTGTCTGAATATGAGGACGAGGCGTTGGACGCCTGTCTGAATGTGAGGACGAGGCGTTGGACGCCTGTCTGAATATATGCGGACGAGGCGTTGGACGCCTGTCTGAATATGAGGACGAGGCGTTGGACGCCTGTCTGAATATGAGGACGAGGCGTTGGACGCCTGTCTGAACATGAGGACGGGGCGTGGGACGCCTGTCTGATGATACGATGATGAGGCAATGCTGAGCCTATCATCATATATAGGCGACGGTCGCCATCCAGGAGGGGATGGCGAGCCCGATCGCTAACCCAAGACATTCGGCAATGAGAGGCCGGTCTTGGAGATAGGACATCACATCGTGGCCTAGGGGCCGATCGTGATGTGAGGACGGCCGTGATAAGGAGCCGATCCAAAATAACAATGACGAGGCGATGATAAGCCGGTCGCCATGTAGGGGCGATAGTCACCATCCAGGAAGGGATGGCGAGCCTGATCGCTAGCTCAACACACTCGGCGCTGATGAAGCCAGTGTTGAGATAGATCGTCACGCCGAGGCCGGGGCGGCGGTCGTGATATAAGGGTGGCGATAACGGGTAGCCGATCCGAATAATGATGACGAGGCAGAGATGAGCCGGTCGTCATGTAGAGGCGACGGTCACCATCCAGGAAGGGATGGGGAGCCCGATCACTAGCTCAACACACTTGGCACTGATAAAGCCGGTGTTGAGATAGGGCATCACGTCGAGGCCGGGGGGGCCGATCGTGATGCGAGGTCGTCAGCACTATGAGGCTGAGCCAAACGTCCAAGCAACGGTCGCCATCCGATGAAGGAATGACTGAGACCGGTCTTGGGGAATATGATCACGTCGAGACCGAGGGCCTGCCATGATCGGCACTGAGGGGTCGACCCAAAAATCCATGCAATGGTCGCCACCCAGTAAAGGAATGGCTAAGACCAGTCTTGATATAAGGTACCGCGCCTTGGCCGAGAGGCCGGCCGCGATGCGAGGATGACGACTATGATAAGTCGGTCCAATGTATGATGACGAGGCAATGATAGGCCAATCGCCATGTAGAGGCGACGGTTGCTATCCCGGAAGGGAATAGCAAGCCCAATCGCTAGATCAAGACACTCGGCGCTGAGGGAGCCGGTCTTGAGATAAAGCATTACGTCGTGGCCGAAGGGCCCGATCGTGATGTGAGGACGGAGATGCTGAGGAGCATGTCCGAGATATGATGACGAGGCAATGATAAGGCCGGTTGTCATGTAGAGGCAACGGTCTCCATCCAGGAAGGGACGGCGAGCCCGATTGCCAACTCAAGACGCTTGGCGATGAGAAGCCGGTCTTGAGAAGGAATAATCACACCAAGGCTGGGAGGCCGGTCGTGATGTGCGGATGGCGATGATGATGAGCCGATCCGAATAATGATGATGACGAGGCGGAGATGAGCCGATCGTCATGTAGAGGCGACAGTTGCTATCCTGGAAGGGAATAGCAAGCCCAGTCGCTAGATCAAGACACTTGGCGCTAAGGGAGCCGGTCTTGAGCTAGATCATCACGTCGAGGCCGGGGGGCTGATCGTGATGTGCGGATGGCGATGATGATGAGCCGATCCGAAGATCCAAGCAACGGTCGCCATCTGGGAAGGGATGACTAAGACCGGTCTTGAGATAAGGTATCACGCCTTAGCCGAGAGGCCGGACGCGATGTGAGGACGACGGCGATAATGAGCCGGTCCAACATATGATGACGAGGCGATGTGAAGGCCGATCGTCATATAAAGGCGACGGTCACCATCCAGGAAGGATGATGAGCCCTGTCACTAGCTCAGGACACTTGGCGATGATAAGTCGGTCTCTGAGAAGAAATAATCACGCCAAGGCTGGGAGGCCGGTCGTGATGTGCGGATGGCGATGATGATGAGCCGATCCGAATAATGATGACGAGGCGATGATGAGTCGATCGTCATAGGAAGCGACGGTCGCCATCCAGGAGGGGAATGGCGAGCCCGGTCGCTAGCTCAAGACACTTGGCGCTAAGGAGGCCGGTCTTGAGATAAAGCATCACGTCGTGGCCGAGGGGCCGATCGTGAAGAACGGATGGCGATGATGATGAGCCGATCCGGATGATGACGAGGCGATGATGAGCCGGTCGTCATATAAAAGTATGACGGCGTTGGGGAGGCCGTTCATAAGCTGATGGAGCAAGAGCTTCGGCATCGGGAGCCGGTCTTGAGATGAATAATAAGTTTGGGGAATTTATTTATTTTTATTGCTCGAGGCCGGTAAGTGCGCGGTCCGTCGGCTTCCCTCTTTTTTTTTTGGATGGCCGAAGGGTTACTGTCCCTTCGTCCATGTGCGGTATTTTGTCCGCTACGCTTTTCGCGTGTGTTAGTGCAAGGGAGTAAATACGCCCTCGGCTTGGTGTGTCAGTGGCATCCTTTTTTGCCTTTACACGTCTATCGGCGACGAGGGACCGGACTAGGCATCGTCTTTTGACGGCCGCCCTTTGTGGTCCTGAGCGAAATTTTACTGACGGGTGGAGTTTTTGTAACCTCAGCCTTAATTCAGGCCTGTCGTCCTGCGGTTTCCGCGCGGACGACGCGGTATGCTTCTCCGTTTGAAGACGTTGGACCATGCACACAGGTCCTTCGTCCTGCATATCGCCGGCCGATTTGGGTGTTTCACCGCTTGTGCCGATACGATATTTAGGTGTGTTGTTTATTGCAACGGCTTTGTAGGCGCGTTGTGGATCGCAACGGCCTTAGGTGCGTTGTGTATTGCAACGGCTTTGGGTGCGTCGTTTATTGCGACGGCTTTAGGTGCGTTGTTTATTGCAACGGCTTTTGGATGACGCAATTAGCGTGTAGGGGAATGAGGTGTACCGCTTCTAGGCATAATGTCGTGTGCGGCCGTTGATGGCTCTCATTCTAGATGCCCGGGTCATCAAATAAAGATGACCATGGTAGGTCAATGGACCCAAATATGATCCGAATCATCAAATAAAGATGTTCGGAAGGTTAAGGCTTTGGCCCGCACCAATTGGGGATTTCAATCCATTAGCAATGGTGGTGAAGATAATAATAATAGTAGCAATTATTATTGTTTTCTTTTTTTCTTTGGAATAGTAGTAAAACTATTTTTTCGGAATAGTAGTAAAACTATATTTTTTTTTGAATAGTGGTAAAACTATTTTGCTCCATATTTAATGCATAAAATAGGAGGAAAAGTTTGTGAGACTTACTTGTATTTGGGCCGAAGCCTGCCCTGCTTAGTATTAAAGCAGGGAAATACAAGATTGGGCCTGCTCAGAATCCAGCCTTTGAGATTAATAGCCGGTCCATGTTCCTCTTGGCCCGCTATCCTAATTGACTGTTGAGATGTGGATCCTGCCCACTTTGTTAGTTTTTACCCGCACGGAGAAGTGGGTTCGAAGGAGTGGAGCCAGAGTCGTGACGACCGACGAGGAGATTCCCGCTGACCCGGCCGTCGCGAGGGAGAGAAGGGAGGCTGCTTCCAGTCCGGGGTGTGCTGCTGCTCTTCCGCCGTCTGGGCAAAGAGACCACAATTGGCCGGGGGACGGGCGATTTGGCGCCGATGCGAACTGGCCGAGGAGGCCTTTCTGGTGGGCGACGTGTTTGGCCAATAAGTTCTGGCCGTTGTGGTCCGGACGATGTGGTTGCTTGACGAGATGGTCCTGTTGTGGCCGATGCGGTGTCGGCCAATGCGGTGCCGGCCGATACGGTGCCAGCGATGTGGTGCCGGACGATGCGGTGCCGGCGATGCGAAGCCAGACGATGCGGTGCCCCCCTTTAGCAGGTGCGGTGTGCCGATGTGTTGTCGGCCGATGCGGTGTCCCTCTTTTTGGCCGGTACGGTGCGGGCGATGCGGTCCGGCCGACGTGGCACCGGCCGATGTGGTGCCGGCTGATGCTCGCTGGACGAAGGAGGTGCAGCTCCCTGGCCGAGGTGGCCCTACTTTGGCCGATGCGATACTGGCCGATGATGTTTCAGGTTGATGACGTTGCCAGCAGAAGTGTTCTGGCCTGACTGATGTTCCTCCTTCAGCTCGCCTCAATGGCCGAGGCGGCGCTTGCTGATGCAGGGCCTTGGCAGAGGGAGTCGCCTGGTGGTAGGCTGACCGATGAGGTGCCCAGCCGATGGGTTCCGGCCAATAGGTGCCCGGCCGATGGGCGTGCAACACTACTTGGCCGATGTGGAGCACCGTTTCTTGTTTCCATTGCTTAAATTGTGTAGGCCGAAGAGGTGCGACTTGTTTGGCCGAGGCTGTCCCAACTCTTGCAGTTTGGCCGATGGTGCACTGCTGCCTGGCTTATGGACGGTTTGAGGTGTCCACTTTCTTTGCCGAGAGTGAAGCCTGACCGAGGGGGCATGCTTCCGAGTTCCCCACTCCAGGCCGAGGTGTTGCTTACTCACATATGGTTTGA